GGCAGCGGCTCCCGGCCGCCATGAGCAGGAAGGGGGCAAAGCTCCTGGTGGACTCGCTGACCCGATCCGCCAAGCACTGTGAGTCCCCCCGGGCTCCCGGCGGCCGCCCCGCCTTGTTCCCGTGCCCATCCTGGGTGGCTCTGCTCGTCCCCCATGCGAGGCACTCCACCGGCGCTCCCTTAGGAACAGCGTCTGGGGCCGGGGCGGGGGGTGATTATTGCTATCGTGGTCCTGGCGTGTTCCTGTGCCTGCCTCGTGTTTGACCAGCTTAACTTACAACCTGTGTTTGTGTTTGGGCCGGGCAGTTACCAAAAGCGAAGTGGAATGTCTGGTCAAGCTCTTCGACACGCTGGTGGCTAAGGCCAGCAGCCAGTTTGCTGGGGCCGGCTTCGACCGCACCGTGTTCCGAGACACGCTGTACAACGCCTTCGGCATGACGGATGACGTGGTGCTGGACCGAGGTGAGCGGGCACGCGGCTCTGGGCGCCGTGGGAGCGGTCGGGATGACGCTGCCGACCCGACGAGCGTGTCCGTACCAAACGGCATCGTCACCTCCCGGCCGGGACGGCAAAGGAGGAGTAATCCTCGGGAGCTGTTGAGAAAATGGCACATTTTCTTTCTTTATGCGTCACGGTTTTCCCTTAGTTCAGGAGAGCTCACTCTCTGGCTCGGGCAGAGCAGGCAGAGGCCCTTGGCTGCCCTGTGGCTGTTTCTGTCGCAGCCTCTGTAGTGTCGTGACCGAAGGGGGCAGCGTCACTTTCTTTTCTCCGGTGGTTTCCCCGGGAGCTGCGGTCGCTGCTGGGCGACAGCTGTAGCTCAGGGCGGGGAGTCCCAGGAAGGCATTCTGATACAGTGGGTAACGCTGGGAATAGAGGCTTTGTGAGCAGCATTGAAGGGCCTGGGCAGGTAGTACTAGGAAGTGAGAGTAATGAGACAAATCACCCCGTGAAAATACAGTGATTTCACAGATTGTAACAAGGGGCATGTTTGCAGTCACTGTGAAAGCTGAAGGAATGATCTCGGATGTAGCGATGTCTAGAGGAGTATGCAGAGCAGGCATGAGTCTGCCCTTCTTTCAGTCTTGGGCTGCCGAGAGCCCCCCCCCTTGGTTCAACTTTCTCCATGTCTCTAGCAAGAGAGCTACTTACATGCCATAAAATAAAAACTTGTTGCAATTTTATGCAGCAAGTCAAGTGTGTCTTGGAAGATACCTCACATAACCTTACATATTCTTAAAAATTACTTGAATGCTTACACACAAAGGGGCTGATTACAGTTCACAGAAGCAAACCTATTGTCTTCAAAGTCAAAAATGCTTGGCTCTGCATGGGGAGATGTTCCTTCAGCCAATTTACTAATTAATATTCTAAAATACAATTTATTACAGATGCTGGTGGATGCTTTGAACTCCTTGGTTTTGAATTACTGTATTCCAGGCTGTATTAATAGTGAAGCTGTGAAAGTTGCTTAGGGAAGGGAGAAGAAAAATATATTGTTATATGACAGAAAAAAGGTTATTTTTCTTTGTAGATTTAATACATATAATTTCTAGGATTATTTTGTCCAAGATTTTCCAAGACAAAACATAGTTATTTAAATCTTAATATGTATGCAGAATTATCCCTTATTTTAAAGGATATTGGTTTATTTGCTTTCCATCTGCATGGAAGCATAGTTCCTGTAGTTGTTAAGTCAGGAAGGCAACAGATTGGACAAATCTTACCAGGCAGGATTCTGGAGTGGAAGATCAGTAAACTGAGGGGCAGAATCCCTTTCATTGTTACATCTTAGAGTCAAGAACGGTAATCTTACCTTGGTGAAAGCAGATAAGCATCTTAAGAAGAAAGATAATTTATAATTTTACTGAGTTTAAGAAAACATTGGTTTTTTTTGTGTTTCCTTATCATATAAATTTGAAATGTGTCCAATACACTTCTTAGTGTTCAGCATTTTTGATAAAGACAACACTGGCTTCATCACTGTGGTGGAATGGGTGGAAGGCTTAGCAGTGTTACTTCGGGGGACCCTGGAAGAGAAGATGAAATGTAAGATTGATCTGTATGCTAATATTTAGTAGTAATGATTGAATTAATAACAACACATTGCTTTTGTTGTAATTTAGTAGTTACTCTTATAAAGTATTTGGTAATTGAAAAGTTTTCTTCTGTATCGTTTAATGCAATGGAACTGAGTTCTGAAATGGCTTCTCTGAGACAGTTTTTTTCTGTGTTAACTACTGTTACCACAGCCACCACCTTTTTTTGTTGCTTACAAAATCTTGCATTTAAACTGAAGTTTATTCTACAGCATACACTTCTGGAAAAAATACATGTTTTTGTATTCACACACAAAATTATAAAGAAGCAGATGAATCTCTAGTGTGCTTTTGGCTAATTAACAGTCTCAAGCCAAGCAAGACCAGTGCCAACATTCATTTACTGGCACACTAGCTCCAGCAGTTCTTCAGATTGGAAGCAGAGATGGAAAAACTGTAAGGTGGTAATGAGAACCTCCACAGTAATGACAGAGAAAGATGGAAGAGAAAAAATAGCAAGAACTCTAGAATTTTAAGCAGCAGGGAAAAAAATAGGGCAAGTGGAGTGAAGAAAAACAATAGAAAAATGAGAATGACAGCATGTTGTTTCCATAGTTCCTAGGTTACAGCATTAGCCATTCCTGCTGCATTATATAAATTCATCTGGAAAGTGGTCAGGGGTGTCACAGCATTAGGATGTGTGCCCAGGTTGTAATTCAGTGTGTCAGTACAACCACAAACAGTAAAACATGCATTCCTGCTGTAAGCACTATAGAATATACTAGTGCATAGTGATGTAGTGCTGTCTGTCACAAGTGTTTGCCAGGAGTGTTTCAGAATATGTAATAAATTTGGCTCAGTTGATAATGGGCAGCTCTGTCTATAGGTAATTTTCTGTCTATAGGTCTACAGTTTGAATGGTACGTGATTATAGTTTGTAATCAACTTCCTATTTATTTGTATTTCAAAAGACTGTTTTGCTGTTTATGACCTGAATGGTGATGGATACATTTCAAAAGAGGAAATGTTTCAAATGCTGAAACACAGCCTTCTCATACAACCAGCAAATGAAGAGCCTGATGAGGGAGTTAAGGACTTGGTAGAGATAGCACTAAAGAAAATGGCAAGTACTTGTTGTGATACTTGAGGGTCTTTCAAAGATTCACTAACCAATACTTAAAACCTTTCTATGAAGTAACAAAATAAGGTATCTTATTTTATTATATTATTTACAGAAGGATTCTGCAAGTCTCCTGAGGAAAGCCAGAAATATATGAGATCTAATGAGTCCCAGTCCAGTATTCTCATATGAAATCATTAATTTAGTATGTGAATGTACTATAAACTTTATGTATAAACTAGCATGTATGTATGGCCTATACATCTATGCATGCCCAGTCAAAGCAAGAGCCCAGTCAGAAGTGGAAAACTTAGAAGTGTAAGCTGCATTTATTCCATCAGTACCAGCATCTGCAGTAGCTTAATTTTAAAGTATATTTGTGTTTTATAAATGTAATGTCTTTATCCTATTTATTTGTATGTATTCTATTAGAATAGTAAACTCAAGGTTATTAATGTGAAGCTTGTCTTAGAGTGCTTAATCTAGAATATCAGAGCATCTGGGGATAGTCTGTCAGTACTTTAATCAAATCAAGATATATACTCTCTTTCATGGTGGTCAAAAATTTTCACTTCAAACCAGGTTTTGCATCCCAACTCCTTTTTTATTTAAGACCATCTTTTCAATTTTTCAATCCCACCCTTTTTGCCTTAGAGGCAAGTCACAAATCTTTTCTGAGCATAAACTGATGACCCCCAATTTGCAAATCTAACTAAAAATAGAATCCATGTTCTTTGAACACCTGTTAAACAAAACTACAAGTCATAATCCTTTGCTGAAGTGGTCCCTTCCTTTTGCAGGACTATGATCACGATGGCAAGCTTTCTTTTACGGACTTTGAACAAGCAGTCAGAGATGAAAACCTTCTCTTAGAAGCCTTTGGACCATGTTTGCCAGACATAAAGGTACATTAACCTCGAGTTCAAAAAAAAACTGCATAAGCCAATTCCTTACAGACACTTGCATCAATCCTGTGAATGTCAGGGTATCTTAGGCCAATGTGGAGTTCATCCTCTCAGTGCCAGTTCTGCTATCCAAAGGTGGTCCCTGAGCACTCCCACTCCAGGGTTGTTGCAGCACACTGCTGCAGGTATTCATCTCATCACTAAGGGAAATTTCAGTCCTGTACATTGTCATCCCAGTCTCTAGCATTCCTGTTTTCATCCAGTTTATCTCATTCTGCAGCTGGGCCTTCTTCTGGCCCTTAATGCCAGATCATTCCTTGGGACACACCCCGACTGCTGAGCAGTTAAAATTTTAATTTCTCCTTCAACTATAACTTTGAATATTCTAGCTGGTCTGCTAGTGATGATACCATTAATGCTATGGATTTATCTTTTCTAAGCTAAAAAGCGAGAGTCAGTCTTCACTGCATACACATTTCAGTTCAGTACCTTTTCTGACTAAATAGAAATCCTTTAGTTAACTGAAAATTAACTTTTTTTTTTTTTTTTTTTTTTTTTTTTTTTTTTTTTTTTTTTTTTTTTTTTTTTTACAGAGCAGTATGTCATTTGAACAGAAAATTTTCCGGAAAGTTCCTAAATAGAAACTCCAAGTTGTAACTCCACTGATGAATACTGTTAAAAGGGGTCTTCATCTTCACCACTCTTTGTGATATAGTAAAAACAGTCATCTTTCAAGTTGCTCCTAAGCTTCAATCTTCCTTTGCTGTTAAAGCTATTGAATAAATTAATTTACTTCTGTAACTCTACCTAAACAGAGTTCTTCTGTGAGTTATGTAAAATATATTACAATATGAGGTACACAGGGCAACACTGCAACAATAATAGAGTATATTTGGTTTCTTCATTCCAAGTAACAAAATGACACAGTTTTAACAGGTAATCACTGGGAAATAGAGTATAAGAAAGTTTTATTTTTTACATTAAAAAATACATATTTTAAATATATTCTTTACAAAAGGACTGTTAGAAGATACTGCCAGCAGTATCTATATTCTTCTTCTCTGCTTTACAACTGGTTTGGCTGAGCTGCTCTCTGGTTTTTCCACAGACGTTGAAACAGAATATGCTACCTAAATTGGAGGGGAAAAGATATTAGCAACCTGTAACCATTACTTTTTTTATGCTCATTTTAGAGAAAGGCCACATATCCAAGGTTTGGGTATTCGGAAGGATTTATTACTATCATCACTTGTAATACACTTGCATTGAGTTTTCCTGCTGACTAGAGGAAGAAAGTAGCATCAAAGTCAGCATTAAACACAACAGAAGTGAAACTTAGGAGATTCTGCCCTACCATTTTTGTATTTAACTACACAAACTGATTTCAGATAGTCAGTGATATAATATTATGTATGTCATTTCCCTTCTTCCTAACAGGTGTTTTAAAGCAAGGTTTAATGTGCTTTATAAACTCAGGTATTTCAGGAAACAAAGGGAAAGCAAAACCATGTATTTTGACACATATTTTAGAAAGGTATTTAATATAAAGAGTGCTTGTTTATGAGATATGCACTTTCAAATCGATCTAGTTAGTCAAGGGAGCTTTTTCATATCTTAATGTAAATTAAATGTTTGACCTGCTGATTAATATCCTCAATAAAAGGATATATAGTTTAACACATGCTTCTCAGCATGGAATTAGCGATTCTGTAGTGCTTTTAATGGCATAAGAAGTGTTGGAGCAAAACAACATTGAACTCTGACTTCCATTATTTTCCTTTCAGAAATGAGATACAAGTAGCACACTGGAGTCAGCAGGACTACCTACAAAATTATCATGCCTTCACATGTGGAGGAAATAAAAGTAGTTTACTGAAAATCACGTAAGAACATGCACTGACATTTACACTTTCTCAAGTGTAGTGTAAGAGGTCTGGAGTAGAATTGCCTGCAATATTCTAGATTGTGGAAAAGTTAAATAGTAAGAGCACCAGCTTTAAGTGGCAGATAAACTGATAATGAGTAAATGCTGAATAAAGCTCTCAGATATTTTATCACTGTTTTTATAGATAACAAGCACCTATGTTTGAACTATCAGAACTTTAAGAACCCATACCTCTTTCATCTTATTTCGAATTAATGTAGCCGAAGTATTCAAAGACTCATCATCCATATCCACTTTAGGTATTTCTGGTAGTTGTGGACCAATAACAATTTCAGTATTGTCCTCACTTGTTCCAATGAGGGAAAACTTGTTACCTTCTTCTCTCTTCCTCTTACGTTCTTGTAGGTGCGTTGTACGAGGCATAAACCTGTCAATTCCATTGCAAGCTGGAACCATTCTTTGCTGCATTAAGGGAGCTGGTGGAGTGTACACTCCTGGATGTACACTTGGAGTTAAAGATGTGTTTTGACCAAAGTACCCAGAAATTTCAGCACAATTGTTATCATAGTGTGGAGATGTTAACAGGCTCTGATTCTGATTCTCAGATGGATATGCTGTGTTGTGGGATACCCCAGGATGACTTGTAAAGCAGGATGAATCCCAGTTACTGGCTATACTTGATCCTGATGTACTCCATGAACAGTCATGCTCAGAGTTCTTTGAGGCTGTCTTCTTGGGGCCTTCTACTTTCTTTAACACAAAGCAATCTTTAAAACAACAACAAAGAAACACCTTCACTATTTCATGTCATTATTAGTTCTAACACCCAAGGACAAAACTTTTGATATAAATGCAAGAACAATACCAGTGATATTTGATTCCCAGCTACCTTTCTGTGATTATTTTCAAGCTTAAAATATAACAAATTCAACTTTCAAACCAGTTTTCCAGTCTAGTGCCTTTGCTGGTTTATAACATTGAAAAACCCCAGGTGTTTTGATGTTAAAAATCAGTGGGTTTACTCCCTTTAGAAATCCTCACACAATAAATAATGATACCCAAGTATGTGAGCGCAGGAAAGGAGAAGTTTGTGCTCAGCAATTTGCTTATTCCTCAGCTTTCCCAGCCTTCAGCACTGCCTGGGAACTCTGTGGTACAGGAGTCTTTGTAAACACAGTCCATTCTTAACATTCCCCCAGTGCAAAGATGTAGGCTGGAGAAATTTTTTGAAGGTTCTGGTATAGTCATATTCATTCCAAAACTCTCCCTTTGGCATGCCTGAGGAGGCTGGAACAAAGGTAAAAGTGTGATCCCAAATTTCCTGCCAGCGCTTTAAATTTCTGGTAGCACTTTGAAAGAAAACAAAAAATGAAGGAAATACTTAATTATTAAAGCTTAATAATTTCATTATTTTCGTCTTAATCAAAGCCAAAAAAATACTTTGAAAAGGATATAGTTCTCTACATATTGCGAGATGTCTCCCTGTAAACATACTTAAAATGCTTCTGTATTGGGTTTGCATGACCCCTTTTTTTGTAGCGAGCGGGCTACAGGGTTGACTTTTGTGAGAAGCTGCCAGATTCTTTCACCATGTCCAGCAGAGCCAATTCCTGGTGGCTCCAAAGATGGATGTGCCACTGGGCAAGGCCAGGCCGATTAGAAATGGTGGTAGCACCTCTGTGGTAACAGATTTAAGCAGGAAAATAAACAAGAAGTGTTTGTGCAGTTGTAGCTGCGGCCAGAGAAGAGCAGAGCGAGCCCGTGCGAGAAGCAGCCCTGCAGACGGCGAGGTCGGGGCAGGAGGGGCAGGAGGGGCTCCGGGCGCTGGAGCCGAGATTCCCTCAGGCCGCGGGGCCGCCATGGGGAGGCCGCTGTGCCCCGCAGCCCGTGGGGGCCGTGGGGATGCGGGATCCGCCACAGCCCGGGGAGGAGCCCCGGGCCGGAGCACGGGCATGCCTGGGAGGAGGCTGCGATCCCGGGGGAGACCCGTGGAGAGGGGCCCGGCTGCGGGCGGGAGCAGCCTGGCCCTGGAGGATGCACCCCGGAGCAGTGACCCACCCTGAGCGGGCTGGGGAGGCTGTGCCCGTGGAGGGACCCGTGGCAGCAGCTCACAGGGAGCTGCCGCTCCGAGATGCGCTCACGCTGGAGAGTTCACAGGGAACCGCCTCCCGAGCCTCCCCGGGGGCAGCAGGGGAGTGACTCCTCTCCCTGAGCAGCGGGAGAAGCCATGGGTGATGAGCTGACCATTACCCCCATTCCCTGTGCCCTTGCACTGCTGGGCAGGGGATAGACCTGAGAAGGGAGGAAGGTGGTTATAAGGGCTTATTTAATTCTCATCCTGCTTTGAGTTTGTTAGTAATAAATTCACTTTATGTCTCCAAGTAGAGCCTGTTTTGCCTTGATGGTATTTGATAAGTGATCTTCCTCCTGCTCCTTATCTCAACCCATGAACTGTTTGTTAAATTTTCTCTCCTCTGTCCGGTTTGTGGACGGCAGTGAGTGAGCAGCTTTGGTGGACGCCTGGCATCTGGCCACCATACTATAGCATCTTTAAAAGAGGTAGGTAAAAAGTTTTCTTTAACAGGCACTTTAGCCAAAACCCCACCCAGTCCTGAAGAACATTAAAATTTTATAGGAAATTTAGTCAGGATTCTATAGAAAATTTAATCACTAACCTCTTTGATTTGTTGCTTTTGCTATATACTTTCTTCTATCCTGCAACTTCTCTCTAGTTTCTTGGACTGTTTCAAATTCTGGAGCATAGCACACGTGCAGCAAACTACCAAAGAAACTTCGTTCATCCATTTTTTTCTTGGCCACCCTGAAGGGAATTAAAGTCTATCAACAAAACTGAGGATTTTACTTAACACATTGCAAGTACAGAAGGTGTAAAAGATTAAGACAGCAAGAGGCAGATATTGCCCTGTCCAATACCTTGCACATTGCAGTTTTTTGAATTTTATAAGGTACACTTCAGTAAACTGCTCTGCTGGATATTCATCTAAAGCATGATATTCCTCAATGGCACCATATAATGCAAATTGTTCAACTAACTCCTTCATAACACCTAATGCAGGAACTCCTTGTATCAGTAAGTAGCGAGATTCCAAGTTGATAGTGTAAACCTGAAAAAAACAAAAACAAAGACTATGAAAAAACATTCCCATTCTTGCTTTATTGCAAAAGGCATGCATTTTCTCCATGTTCTCTGTTTTTCTCCAAATCCTCTCAGGATGCTGAAAACCCACATGTACTGTTTTGCAGGGCAGTAAGTGCATGGTCATTTGGGACCTCTTCATCACTGAGCAAGAGATGAACTCATGCCTCTCATGCATAGTAAAACACAAATAGACTTGACTTTTCTACACAAAGTCAGAGTACTACTGCCAGTTCCCAAGTAAAATCTCTTACATCTCTGGCCATCTTCCATGCAAGACATACTAGTGACCAGTTTATAGGACATGCTGTCAAAATACAGAAAAAAAACACTGAAAAATTGGTCTTCATAGCCAAAGAAGTTGTGCAAGTGAGGAAAACTGCTTTTTTCCACACAGGGAGTAAAAAAATAATTACCACAATTCCCTGGGGTAAATCCTGTGTGTGCAGAGCTGTCTACTTCCCATGGTGATCCAACAGTGTACATTTTTAAGACACACAGATAAAATCTGTATGCTGAGAAAAAGAAGGTCTTCTCTCAGCAAGTTAAAAATGAAACCAACCATTCTTATTTGCTTTGTGACTGTCACATAACAGACTCTAAGCAAAGCTTGTTGATGGCTCACTATGTACAACAGACAGCTAGGCAGGTTATCCCTGAGATTAAAGGAAATTTATTCTGAGTTTGTTAAAAAAAACCCCAAACCACAAATATTTAGACTGCATAAGTTACACATATTTCTTAAAAAAACCCCATATTCTGGACAAAGTGAGAACTGCTTGGGAAATCAACTCTCAAACTTCCGCTATAAAAGTTTCTGCAGGCAGGTCATGTAAGTTTTCTTGTGGCAGCTGCACACTCCCACCTACATTCTTTTGGGAACAAGGGATTGAAGGAATTTCATGCTTTCACTATGTGACTGGTTTTTTTGGGAAGGTTTGTCCTTCTACCTCTTTCTTGTCCAGGAAGAAAAGATTCTAATAAGGTTTTTTCCACACTTGGGACATCCATACTGTTTCTCCTGTGTGTCTCCTCCAATGCCCAGTGATGGCTGGATGCCTGTGCTGGCCAGAGCTCTGTGGATGCACAAGGCTCTCTGTCCTCTGCCTCCCCATGTACACTTGGAAGAATAAAAGAACGTAACAGCTTTGAGACTTCATGAACTATGGAGGGTTTGAAATTTTACAGGAAGGTGGCACTGGCGAAAAAGATGTCCCTATGTTTGTGGGCACGCAGTAACCCTTATTCCAGCACTGGTGAGATTGCGCCTCGAATCCTGGGTTCAGCTCGGGGCCTCTCTCCAAGACACTGAGGTGCCAGAGCATGTCCAGAGAAGGGTCACAGGTCTGATGAGGAGCAGCTCAGCGAGCTGGGGGGCTCAGGTTGGAAAAAAGGTGGTTCGGGGAGTCCTCATCGCTCTGTACAACTCCTGACGAGAGGCTGGAAACAGAAGCGGTTGGACTTCATGATCTTAAAGGCCTTCTCCAACCTTAGCGCTTCCTTTCTCGCGCCAGCCTCCAAGGTGCCGCTACGGCTCACTGTACACAGAGCGCACACAGAGATACCAAAGCTCTCAGCTCTGCCGCAGTAACGAGAAGCCCCGGCCGCGCAGCAGGCCAGGCCCAGGGCCTCCCTCTCTCCCTCCCGGGAGCCGCGGGACTCCAGCGCAGCCCCGGCCGCCCCCAGCCCCTCACGGAGGCGGCTCCGCCCGCTCCCGCCCGCCCGGCACCTTCACGGCGCGCGGCCGCCACCCCTCGCGGTACTTGGCGCGCGACGCGCACGCTCCCAGCTGCGCGTGGTGCCGGCACGGAGCGCCCGGGCCCCCGCTGCTGCCGCCGGCCGCCATCTTCCCACCGCCCCCCGCGCCGCGCAGCCCCCCCATTGGCTCCCTCCGTGCGGCGGGAGGAGGAGCCGCGGTCCGCAGCGAAGGAGCCAATCAGAGGCGGGCAGCGGGAAACGCCGTGCCCGCATTGGCCGGCAGTGGGCCGTACCACTGCCCGGGGGTGGCAGGGAGCATTACCCCCCGCGCCGCCCCGGCAGGCGGGTCCGTGCCCGGGCGGAGCGGGCGGCGGGCTGGCTGGCAGCGGCCATGTGGGGCTGTGGTGACCCCGGTGGAGCCGCCGCCGCCGCCACCGTCGTCCTGAGCGGGACCCGCGACTGCTTCCTGCACCTGCCACCCGCACTGGCCTCGCTCCTCCGCCTGCAGCAGGTACCGGGGCGGCGCCGCTCGGGGCCCGCGCGCGGGGAGGATTGCGTGAGCGCGCCCCGCAGCCTGTTACCGGGGCGGTGCCGAGCCCTCCCCGCAGCCGGGACCCCTCACGGGGAGCCATCGGGGAACCCCTCCTTCCTTCGCCTCCTGCGTGGCCCAGTGTCGTCATCCAGTCCTAATAAAACCCGGGAATTTTTCTTGTCCAATGTGGTCTGGCACTGTGGGCATCTGCGTCTCTATCATCACTCCCTATTTCAACCAGTTTTCTTCATAACCTGCTAGCATTAAGCGAATAATGTGTAAATGATGAATTCAGGTAGGAGAAGAGGTGACAAATTCATGCAGAATCCCTGTTCTTGGTGTACACAAATAAAATATGTCACTGTAGAAAGGCACTCGCGTCATGCAGAGCCCTGCTGAAGATGCGGGTTCAGCTGTAGGGACTGCACCTTGCATTGTAAATAACATTTCACACGTGGAAACGGGAGGAGAGGCACTGTGTGCCTCTTGTGCCACGGAGGCAGAACTGATGCCAGCCGAGCAGGGTGGAAAACGGCAGGAGTGAGCCGAGAAGGATGCGAGCAAAGCTCCGGAGTGCTGGGACAGCCCCCGCGGCCGAGCAGGCCTCCCTGGCGAGGGTAACCTGTCCTCAAGGCCGAAAAGGGCCTTTCACAACGGGAAAACAACATAGGCGCGCAAAACCCGCTCGTTCACCTTTGGGGTAGTAGAAGGAAGTTGGTGGAATTGGAAGGAATGCAGTAGTAAATGCGAGCTTCATTTCAGCTGCAGTTTCTGAGTGTTTTACAGATCTGCTGTCAAGAGAGAGGAGAGGGAGTGCAGTTGCTTTGAAGTCTTGTAGTGTCATTCTGTACACTTGTTTGTTAAGGTGGACTACTGCTTTTGCTTAACCTGAGCTGCTAAATGAAAAGATGGAATCTTAGAAAACTTGATAGAAACAGCGTCTTAAATGCATCTCATAAATAAAAATGTTTAAAAGGGGATAAATTGAATCAAAAGCTGAATCTAATTACAGAAGATATTAGATAAGATCTTCAGTTTGGCATTGAAATACCTGGGCAGTTCTGAAACAGCTTGATAAAATCATTTTGATCTAGATATTGTGATTTTTGGCTTATTCTAAATGTGTCACAGAAGCACTCTTTGGAGACTGTGTAAATGTTATAATTTTTGTGAAATCAAAGTCTATTTATTTTTTATTTATTTATTTTCCTCATTTGGGAAGTGCAAACGTGCAGTTGTACATTTCTGTAAAATATTTTGATACATTATGCAGAAGAAGGAAAAAAAAAATGAATTTTCTTATTTAAAAATAGTCCATAAAAATAGAAAGCTTTTTAAGAACTGAAAACAAGCGCTCACTTCTTTGTTGAGAGTTGTGCAAACAAGGTGTAAAATCCAGATAATAGCTTTAATTCCTTTGATCTCTCTAATCAAATAGGGTTTTTGTTGTCTGCTAGTCATCTCACTTAGCTGGTTTTATATAAATTTATTTTCTTTCTTTGAAACTCATAGGGCCAAGCTGTGAAAGTATCCTGTGCTCATCAGCCAGTATTTTTGAGCTGGATGGAAACCAGGCATCGAGGTCACCAGGGTGAAAATATTGCAGAGATTAACAGACATTTGGCAGAGAAACTTGGCATCACAGATGGAGAACAGGTTTGAAATGCTACCTTTGTTTTCTGTTTAAATAAAGAGCATATTGGAAGATAAATGAAAAGGTAATACTACATGAGTTAGCTGTGACCTTATTTTGTGTATTTAGACAGTTTCTTCATTTACATCTGCTCATGAGAAAAGTTAACTATCATGAAACATCTCAAACATGAAAAGATTTGCTCATTAAACCATTAACAATAACCTAAACCATGTTAGGATAGGCTTCTGGGTAGGTCTTTGCAGGGCTGGGACAACTGTCTTCAGTGACATTAATTTTAAGAAAATACACTTTTAAGCAATTGACAAATTTGGAATGGGAATATTTTGTTTGGAGTTCTGTTGTTTTAAAGTAGCTACTGACTTTCTGCATATTCTTGTTTAACTCACTTGGGGTTTAAATTTTTATCCCTTTTTTCACCCTTTCACCATATGTCCCTTTCTCTTTGAGTGTTTGTATTCACCTCTTATGAATATATATCTATCTGTCTGTATCTATCTATCTAGTTCTTGTACATTCACCTCCTACTCTTGAACACTGTTAAACTTCTTGTAAATGACTCATTGAGCAGAAGTTAGAGATGCTCTGGAGGCAGATGGAATTTTCTCACATGGGACCACTAAAATTTCAAAATAAAAGGATTTCTTTTTCTATTAATAGATAGACACTTAAACAAGATTTAAAAAGTACTGCTTTACACAGTGTTATTGTGTAGTATATTCATATTTGCCTATTTTCTCATATAAAAAAATTTGTTCAACATCATAGAAGACATCAAAGATTGTGACTCAGAGCAGTGCATTATCTTACTTTGTTTACTTTTTACACATATTTTCTCTAGAAATTATGTGTCTGCAGAAATTTCCAGTTGAGTAGTTGAGCAGCCAGGCATCTACCCCTTTTAGTTTTAGCAACTTAATGCCTTCAACAGGAAAACATTGACAAAGGAAACTGAAGAAAACCTTACCCAGGTGTTGCTGGGAATAATCATCTGTACAGTTGAATAAATACATGATTAATTAGTTTCACCATTGTTTGGGATTCAGGAGTTACATGTTTGCTATATGATCTTCTTTTTACTGTGCTGGGGAAAAGATACTCCTCTCAGTTATTGCTTCAAACTAAGGACATAGAGGATTTCAAAACTGATTGTTACTTTTGTAAAAAGGTGAGCTAACGTAATTCTCTCAGAGGGTGGGTAACTGGTTTTACCTCAGGAAAAGAAATAGTGATGCTTCTTTGAAAATTAATTGCAAGATATTGTTTGCAAATTGTTTGTTTTGGTTTTTTTTTTGGCAAATACTGACTTTTGAAGTCTGTATTCAATGCATTCTGAAAGATTTAAGCCACAGCAGCTTTTGCCATTCTTCCTGATTCACAGAATATTAAAACTGTTCTGTGGAGATGGGGCTGCTTCCTATGAAGTCATTCATTAAGGAGCTGGGCTTGCTTTTCTATTGTACTTTTTTCCTTATTTTTCAGCTGGTTCTAAATTTATGCCCAAGTGAATTAATTTTGCAACTTTTTAAAATCCTGGGGATTTAAAAATAAAGATTAAGAAATGGAAAGGTGGTTATGTGATCAAGGTGTATTAAAAATGGATTATTTGTTACCACCTGATAAACTCCTGATGCTTTTCATGTTCACTGCTTATTGACATCCCCGAGCCTAATGGGATCCATTTCCCATCCATTGAGCATTCATCTGCTTATGAATTACCTAGTGTCATTAGGATGATGTGTGTTTTCCAAGTAGTGAAAACATATAATGAAGGACATGTCAGTTTTCTAGTTGAGAGATGCTTTTGTATAAAAAATAAGGAGTTAAATATTTTGGTGTTACTTTTGCCAGGTTTTTCTTGAGCCCTGTTCCCATGTGTCCTCCTGTCAGCAAGTAGAGGTGGAACCACTCACAGCAGATGATTGGGAAATTCTGGTAATAAAACCCCTTCCATTGTTCATGTTTTTGTCTTTCAAATGACAGAGATTTTGACTCAAGTAGTTTTTTGCACAATGCCCCATTCCTTTCAGCCTCTAAGAAAATACGAAACATGGTCGAGTTTAGTTATATTTTATATTTCAAATGGTGTATTAGAAAGAGACATTTTTTTTCTTCAAATAAATGTTAAAAAGGTATGCAGTATTTAATTTATAATGGTATCACATTTCCCCAGGAACTGCATGCTTCCTCCCTTGAAAGACATCTTCTTGACCAGATTCGAGTGGTTTTTCCAAGGGCCATCTTTCCTGTCTGGGTTGAGCAGCACACCCATGTTTACATCAGAATCGGTAAGCATCGCTCAAGGCTCTGGGAGCACCCCCAGTAAACTGCTTTGCAGGGGTAGATGCATTCATTGGCATCTTTTGCTCATACTTAGGTACACTTGTGCCAGCAGCCCCATATGGGAGATTAGAGCCATGCACAGAGCTTCTGATACGTCCCAAAACACATGGACCTGAGGAGAATATCACCAGCACACCTGCCACAGAAAGTGATGTCTTGCTCAAAAATTTTGTGAAAAATAACATGGATCAGAAAGAAACATTAAAGGATCCTTTTGCCAAACAACCTTACTTAAAGCCTGGAGTCCTTGAACAGAGTAAGACTGATGCAAACATGACGTTTGGCTCAAATGTTTTCCCAAATATATGGAATTTTATAGGGAACATTTTCTATAATACATCTGAGCAGAAACAAAAGACTTCATGTGATAACGATGAAATGAGCCCCTTCAAAGACAAGCTGCTGAACTTAATTCACATGGATTCCATTTTTAGAGTATGTCAGTCCCAGCCTCCCAGTGTACAGAATGT